ATGTGCGCCCAAGCTTGTCATTGATGTTAGAGTGCGCGCCCATGCGCGCCCAAGCTTGGCATCGTTGTTAGAGCGCGTGCCCATGTGCGCCCAAGGGCCCAAGCTTAGCATTGTCTTTTAAGAGTGCGTCGATGCACGTTTAAGCTTGGAACCGTGCTTTGAGTGCTAGCCCATGCTCGCCCAAGCTTAGTATTGCATTTTGAGCGTGCGCCCCATGCGTGCTTACGCTTGGTATTGTCACTTGAGTGCGCCCTGGCTCGGGTAGGGTATGCGAGTGAGTGCTGTAATGATTTTGGAACGCGCGTCCTACCGATGTGATGGTCGGGAATGCATGTCCAGCGAGTGTGATTAGTCTTGTGGACGTGACTGGATCCCTCTGATGGCAAGACTAGCCCCAAAACCCGGCTGATTTGATTTTTTGCTGATCAGTCTCTGCATAGACGATATTCATATCAGACCCTGTGCAGACGATATTTTTCCTACACGCATGATATCAGTGCAGTTCGGTCTACAAGCGCACTACTTTGCGAATGGCCTCTGCTTAGATAATATCTTGATGATCAGTCTCTCTCAGTGACGATACTTGCAGTTCAGTCCTCGTAATCTACTCCACTCGCTGCAGAGATGTTCGTATGATGTTCCTATATCGAGATGTTGCTGATCAGCCGGACCCATTCAGGCGGGCCCCTATATCGAGTTGTTGTTGTTTCAGTCGGACCCATTCAGGCGGGCCCCTATATCGAGTTGTTGCTGTTTCAGCCGAGCCCATTCAGGCGGGCCCCTATATCAAGTTATTGTTGTTCAACCGGGCCCATTCAGGCGGGCCCCTATATTGAGTTGGTTGCCACCAGTTTGGCTTGAGGGTCTACTGAGGTGCTATCCTCTTTGACCCTATCGAGTTGAATTATTTTCCTGGGCTATTGATATCCCCCTCATCTCCAAGACATCATTGCTTGGCATAGTAGTTTGCCAGGGGCATTCTATATTATTCTGCAGATTGGTCAAGCTGGCTTCTCAACGTGAGACAACCCCTACATGGGGTAAGCTATTTGAGAAGTTTTGCTATCGACACATTGGGCATCAAAGCTTCGTCATTCGAGCCAATGAGTCTCCTACGTCGAGGTACACGTTGGTGATCACTTATCACGTGAGAGATGCTGGGCATGGAGTGAAGGGAACCACCTACGACCGGATTGTTGACTATATCTTCCACAGGGAGAGTTATTGGAGGGAACACTTGTTACGTGTGGTGTTTCCCCAAATCCCTTTTGCACCAGGTGGTGCCCGCTATGACTTTGACGGTTGTAACCCTAAACCGCTGAGCAGAGGTGGCAACAAGGAAAAGAGGGGTCAAGACAGGAGGATCAGGAGCGAGGTGGCCAGATCTGGGATTCCTATTACCACCCGTCTACAGAAGTCAGAGATGGATGAGCTAGACCAAGAGCTTTGCTGCGTGAGCGACGTTGACCTGGGGGACTATTTTGACTGGGATACTCACAGGGACTGAGTACGCCTGAGTTTGGAGCAGGCCTAGAGCATTTTATAACATTGGTTGTCGGAGCGAGACGCAGGCGGAAGGAAGCCCTACAACGGGTTGCTTATCTCTTGGCACGTTATTTGCTTGAGGGTGATTGATTCGGACATTACATGTCAGGAGGACCCAAGTCAGAGGAGGTACTCGGCCCTTCAAGGTGGAAGGGACCAGTCCCATATCTTGGGGATGGCTACAGCCATTTGGTGGGAGCAGATTTCGTCATACAGGCTTTTCGGAATCCTCTCGATGGAGACCGTTTTCTGGAGGTTTTATATGACTACATCTACGGCAAGGGGCGGATCGAGATCTTGATCGGTGCCACTGACAGCATTTCCCTCGCTGAGGAGCTATACCTTCGGAGCGTTGCGGACGAGGAGATGGCCAGATGTATGGCATATATCAACAAGATCGATCCTACGGCATCCTTTGACATCAGCTACGTGGTCCCAGAGTCGATGGCCACTCAGGTTCTCAATGAGGAGGAGGACTAGCGTGTACCAGATACGGAGTCCCAGACAGTCGAGCCCACTCATAAGGGGGTACCACCAGTCGTTATTGACTGAGGCTCGCATCTTCTAGTCAAAGAGATGTACTATGACATTATTATGATTTATCAGTGACTGCAGCCCCTCCTTTATGGCTGCTTCTCGCATTCTCTGTGTACTACTCTTCAGTCTCGTATTTCTGGTCATGCTCTTGCAGAGCCTGGTTTTCTGGTCTTTTCATCCTCTTAGTGCAATCTGATTTATGATGCATGTTCTGTAATGCATGGAATATTTATGCATGAGATAACAAATTATTTACCACTCCACATCAGGTTACACTCGAGGCTACTTGAAGGACTCCTGGATAATAGGGACTTCGGTGACCTTGATTCTAACCTTTATACGGGGTCGATGCAGGCGATAAAACCGAACTCCTTACTCTAAGCCGTGTCGCCGCTGGTAGGAGGGATAACACTGACTACTCGACTGTGTGACAAAGGCTGCTTGTGATTTCACTTTCAATTTTTTTAAAACTCTCCAAAATCCTGCGTGACAGCCTGCCAGTCCACCAACTCACCGCACTCGGGCCAGCGAGAGACATCGAACAAGGCCTTGGAACAGTGGGGGCGCGACAGCGAGGAAGAGGCCGGCGGAGAGGCACAACACCAGATTTGTCGGGAGAGGAAGTGGTTATGACTGCGCGAGGCAGCAGTGTCGATGACCATCACGAGGGGTACGCATGGGGCCGAGCAGGGAAGAGGCCGGTGAAGAGTGGAGTTGAGGGCGTGCTGCAGGCGCGCAAGAGACAGCGGCTGTCCTGACTGGACGAGGTGTACGATCCGGATGGGCAGGCCGGATTCAGGGACACCTTTCTGCAGTGGGTCTACGATTCTGATATCCCATTTGCTGCATTTAGAAGGCAGTCATGACTTCGACACAAGAAGCAGCTGGCTGCCATGCCTCAGGGAGTCCGGCCAGTCTATCCATCGTTCAAGGACATTGGGGCGACGGTATTGTAGATCAGCGAGGGAACGTTGCCGCGACGCCGACGGAGGTCCATAGTTCGTTTGAGTCGGTAGGGGTCACCATTTTGTCGCACGGTAGGCAGTCGCGAGAAGTTAGGCCCATAGTTAACTTCCTCGCAACCGCCAAGCGAGGTGCCCTCTTGTACGCCACCGTCCAGCGAAATGGTTCAGTGCCTAAGACGACACAGATCGTCCTGAGGAGGTCGAAGACAATTTTCTGGTTTTTCCCTCCGAATGACGTGTTGGTTATTTGCATGGACTCTGCGTCGAACCATACGTCGGCCTCAAAGCTCCTTCCAAAGGATTCCGATCCGCAGATCCGCTGCATCACTTGGCTCCTCCACCCACGTCGCCAACTTGATGTTGCCTGACATCGGGACACGGGTTCCTAGGGTTATAGACACCATTTTCAGAGCTCGGGCGTTGGTGCGATTCATTAAATCGCACGGTGTGGCTTATCACCTTTTCAGGGTGAAGAGTCGTCGCCGCATATTTGTGCACCCCGTGGAGACGCGATTCCCATCCATTTTTTTTATGTTTCTGTGTTTGCTCGCCAGGCGTAATGCCTTTGAGAGCATCCTTCATAACGACGACTGCGACAAGATCCCATGGGAGTCGTCGAAGCATAGACAACCTCTGTGGGTTCGACAAGTAATCCGGTGCGCCGATTTCTAGCGCAACGTTCACCGCACCGTCGCTGTCATATCGTGGATAGACGAGCCGTAGACGTCCATCGAGCCAGTGGAAGGGGAAGCACGGGTGGGACACAATCACGACCACAAGAGCGTGATCCTGTGGAGGAGGTGCAGGAGTTCCTTGACAAGGAGGCCAGACAAGCAGAGCTCGGGGGAATTGAAGAGGGTGGAGGGACAGGCACAACACCAGATTTGTCGGGAGAGGAGGTGGTTATGACTGCGCGAGAGAGAAGTGTCGTTGACCATCACGAAGGGGACGCACAGGGTCGAGCGGGAAGAGGCCGGTGGAGAGTGGAGTTGAGGGCGTGCCGAAGGCGTGCAAGAGACAGCGGTAGTATAGACTGGACGAGGTGTACGATCTGGATGGGCAGGCCGGATTCAGGGAAACCTTTTTGCAATGGGTCTACGATTCCGGTATCCCATTTGCTGCATTCAAGAGGCAGTCATGGCTTCGACAGAAGAAGCAGTTGGCCGCCATGCCCCTCGGAGTCCGGTCAGTGTATCCATCGTTCAAGGACATTGGGGCGACGGTAGTGTAGATCAGCGAGGGAAGGTTGTCGCGATATTGACGGGGTTCGTAGTTCGCTTGAGTCGGTAGGGGCCACCATTTTGTCGGGCGGTAAGGAATCGCGAGAAGCTAGGCCTATAGTTAACTTCCTCGCAGCTGCCAAGTGTGGTGCCCTAATGTACGCCATCGTCCATCGAGACGGTTCAGTACCTGAGACGACACAGTTCGTCCCGAGGAGGTGAAAGATCATTTTTCGGTCTTTCCCTCCGAAGGACGTGTTGGCCATTTGCACGGACTATGCGTCAAACTATACGTCAGCCGCAAAACGCCTTGCAAAGGACTCCGATCCGAAGATCCGCCGTATCACTTGGCTCCCGTGTTCCACCCACGTCGCCAACTTGATGTTGTCTGACATCGGGACACGGGTTCCTTGGGTTACGGATACCATTTTCAGAGCTCGGCCATTGGTGCGATTCATTAAATCGCACGACGCGACTTATCACCTTTTCAAGGTGAAGAGTCGTCGCCACACACTTGTGCACCCCTTGGAGACGTGATTCCCGTCCTTTTTTTTTTTGTTTGTGTGTTTGCTCGTCAGGCGTGATGCCTTGGAGAACATGCTTCATGACAGCGAGTGTGACAAGATTCTATGGGAGTCGTCGAAGCGTAGAGAACCTCTATGGGTTCGACAGGTCATCCGGTGCGCCAATTTCTGGCGCAACGTTCACCACGCTGTCGCTGTCACATCGTGGATAAACGAGTCGTGGACTTCCATCGAGGCAGGGGCAGGGGCATGACAGGTGAGACACAGTCGCGACCACAGGAGCGTGATCCTGTGGAGGAGGTGCAGGAGTTCCTTGACGAGACGGCCAGACAAGCAGAGGCCGGGGGCGTTGAGGAGGGTGGAGGGACAGGCACAACACCAGATTTGTCCGGAGCGGAGGTGGTTATGACTACACGAGGGAGCAGTGTCGATGACCATCACGATGGGGACGCACGAGGCCGAGCGGGGAAAAGGCCGGTGGAGAGTGGAGTTGAGGGCGTGCCGCAGGCGTGTAATAGACAGCGGCAGTTCAGACTGGACGAGGTGTACGATCAAGATGCGCAGGCCGGATTCAGGGACACCGTTTTGCAGTGGGTCTATGATTCCGGTATCCCATTTGCTGCATTCAGGAGGCACTCATGGCTTCGACACAGAGCAGTTGACCGCCATGCCTCGCAGAGTCCGGTCAGTCTATCCATCGTTCAAGGACATTGGGATGACGGTATTGTAGATCAGCGAGGGAAGTTTACCAGGATCTTGAGGGAGGTCCGTAGTTTGTTTGAGTCGGTAGGCGCCACTGTTTTTTCGAACGGTAGGCAGTCGCGAGACGCAAGGCCTATAGTTAACTTCCTCACAGCTGCCAAGCGAGGTGCCCTCATATACGCTATCGTCCATAGAGACGGTTCAGTGCCTGAGAAGACACAGATCGTCCTGAGGAGGTGGAAGGTCATTTTGCGGTTTTTCCCTCCGAAGGACGTGTTGGCCATTTGCACGGACTCTGCATCGAACTATACGTCGCCCGCAAAGCTCCTTGCAGAGGACTCCGATCTGCAGATCCGCCATATCGCTTGGCTCCCGTGTTCCACCCACGTCGCCAACTTGATGTTGTCTGACATTGGGATATAGGTTCCTTGGGTTACGGACACCATTTTCAGAGCTCAGGCGTTGGTGCGATTGATTAAATCACACGGAGAGGCTTATCACCAGGCGCGGCTTATCACCTTTTCAGGGTGAATAGTCGTTACCGCATTGTGGAGACGCGATTCGCGTCCGTTTTTTTTATGGTTGTGTGTTTGCTTGCCAGGCGTAATGCCTTGGAGAGCATGCTTCATAACGACGAGTGGGACAAGATCCCATGGGAGCCGTCGAAGCGTAAACAGGCTCTATGGGTTCGACAGGTCATCCGGTGCCAGGCTCTATGGGTTCGACAGGTCGACCGGTGCCCCCATTTCTGGCGCAACGTTCACCACGATATCGCTGTCATATCGCGGATAGGCGAGCCGTGGACGTCCATCGAGGCAGTGGCAGGTGCAGGACGGATAGGACGCAGTCGCGCCCACATGAGCGTGATCTTGTGAAGGAGGTGCAAGAGTTCCTTGACGAGGAGGCCAGACAAGCAGAGGCCGGGGGCGTTAAGGAGGGTGAAGGGACAGACACAACACCTGATTTGTCGGGAGAGGAGGTGGTTATGACTGCACAAGGGAGAAGTGTCGCTGACCATCACAAGGGGCACTCACGGGGCCGAGCGGGGAAGAGGTCAGTGGAGCGTGGAGTTGAGGGTGTGCCGCAGGCGCGCAAGAGACAGTAGCAGTCCAGACTGGACAAGGTGTACGATCTGGATAGGCAGGCAAGGGACACCGTTTTGCAGTGGGTCTACAATTCCGGTATCCCATTTGCTGCATTCAGGAGGCAGTCATGGCTTCGGCACAAGAGGCAGTTGGCCACCATGGCTCATGGAGTCCGCCCAGTCTATCCATCGTTCAAGGACATTGGGGCGACGGAATTGTAGATCAGCGAGGGAAGGTTGCCGCCATGTTGAGGGAGGTCCGTAGTTCGTTTGAGTCGGTAGGGGCCACCATTTTGTCGGACGGTAGGCAGTCGGGAGACGCTAGGCCTATAGTTAACTTCCTCACAGCCGCCAAGCGCGGTGCCCTCATGTACGCCACCGTCCAGCGAGGCGGTTCAGTATCTGAGACGACACAGATCGTCCTTAGAAGGTAGAAGGTCATTTTCCGGTCTTTCCCTTTGAAGGACGTGTTGGCCATTTGCAAGGTCTCTGCATCGAACTATACGTTGGCCGCAAAGCTCCTTGCAAAGGACTCCGATCCGCAGATCCGCTGTATCACTTGGCTCCCGTGTTCCACCCACGTCGCCAACTTTATGTTGTATGACATCGAGACACGGGTTCCTTGGGTTATGGACACCATTTTCAGAGCTCGGACCTTGGTGCGATTCATTAAATCGCACGGCGCGGCTTATCACCTTTTCAGGGTGAAGAGTCGTCGCCGCACACTTGTGCACCCCGTGGCGACGCGATTCCCGTCCGTTTTTTTCTTGTTTGTGTGTTTGCTCGACAGGCGTAATGCCTTGTAGAGCAAGCTTCATGGCGATGAGTGGGACAAAATTCCATGCTCGCCCTCGAAACGTAGACAGGCTCTGTGGGTTGGACATGTCATCCGGTGAGCCGATTTCTGGCGCAACGTTCACCACGTTGTCGCTATCATATCGCGGATAGACGAGTCGTGGACGTCCATCGACGCAGTGGCAGGGGCAGTACTAGTGGGATACAGTCGCGATCACAAGAACGTGATCCTGTGGAGGAGGTGCAAGAGTTCCTTGACGAGGAGGCCAGGCAAGCAGAGGTCAGGGACGTTGAGGAGGGTGGAGGGACAAGCACAACACCAAATTTGTCGGGAGAGGAGTTGGTTATGACTGCGCGAGGGAGCAGTGCCGCTGACCATCACGAGGGGGACGCACGGGGCCGAGCGGGGAAGAGGTCGGTGGAAAGTGGAAATGAGGGCGTGCGGCAGGCACGCAAGAGATAGCGGCAGTTCAGACTGGACAAGGTGTACGATCTGGATGGCCAGGCCTGATTCAGGGACACCTTTTTGGAGTGGGTCTACGATTCCGGTATCCCATTTGCTGCATTCAGGAGGCAGTCATGGCTTCTGCACAAGAAGCAGTTGACCGTCATGCCTCGCGGAGTCCGGCCTGTCTATCCATCGTTCAAGGAAATTGGGGCGACGGTATTGTAGATCAGCGAGGGAAGGTTGCCGGGATGTTGAGGGAGGTCCGTGGTTCATTTGAGTCGGTAGGAGCCACCATTTTGTCGGACCGTAGGCAGTCGGGAGACGCTAGGCCTAACTTCCTCGCAGCCGCCAAGCGCGGTGCCCTCATGTACGCCACCGTCCAGCGAGACGATTCAGTGTTTGAGACGATACAGATCATCATGAGGAGGGGGAAGGTCATTTTCTGGTCTTTCCCTCCGAAGGACGTGTTGGCTATTTGCACGGACTATGCGTCGAACTATACGTCGGCCGCAAAGCTCCTTGCAAAGGACTCCGATCCGCAGATCCGCCATATGACTTGGCTCCCGTGTTCCACCCACGTCGCCAACTTGATGTTGTCTGACATCAGGACACGGGTTCCTTGGGTTACGGACACCATTTTTAGAGCTGGCGTTGGTGCGATTCATTAAATCGCACGGCGCGGTTTATCACCTTTTCAGGGTGAAGAGTCGTCGCCGCACACTTGTGCACCCCGTGGAGACACGATTCGCGTCCGTTTTTTTTTATGTTTGTGTGTTTGCTTGCCAGGCGTAATGCCTTGGAGCACATGGTTCATGACGACGAGTGGGACAAGATCCCATGGGACCCATGGGAGTCGTCGAAGCGTAGACTGGCTCTGTGGGTTCGACCTGTCATCCGGTGGGCCGATTTCTGGCACAATAAATCGGCAATGATACTCTGTCTGAGTGCCTGCTGGCACAATAAATCGGCAATGATACTCAGTTTGAGTGCCCGCTGGCACGGTAAATCGCAATGATACTCAATCTGAGTGCCTGCTGGAACAATAAATCGGCAATAATACTCAGTCTGAGTGCCTGCTGGCACGATAATTCGGCTGGGCACAATGGATCAAGATACTCAAAATCGATTTACTCAGTCAAACTGCAATCCCTCACTTCTCTAGAGGGATGTGCTCAGGCCTTCAAGCGACCCTTTGGCTCTCTAGCGCGGTGCGCTCAGACATACAGGCGACCTTCGATTTGCTAGCCCAGTGCGCTCAAACACACAGGCGGTTTTCAGTTCTCCACTGCAATGTGCTCAGTCATATAGGCAACTTTCGATTCTCTAGCGCAATGCGCTCGGTCTTACAGGCGACTTTCGGTTCTCTAGCGCAGTGCGCTCGGTCTTACAGGCGACTTTCGATTTGCTAGCGCAGTGCGCTCAAACACACAGGCGATTCTCGATTCTCCAGCACAGTGCGCTCAGTCACACAGGCGGCTTTCGATTTGCTAGCGCAGTGTGCTCAACCATACAGGCGACTCTCGGTTCTCTAGCGCAGTGCGCTCAGTCTTACAGGCGACTTTCGGTTCTCTAGCGCAGTGCGCTCAGTCACACAGGGGACCTTCGATTTGCTAGCGCAGTGCGCTCAGACACTCAGGCGATTCTCGATTCTCCAGCGCAGTGTGCTCAGTCATATAGGCAACTTTCGGTTCTCTAGCGCAGTGCGCTCGGTCTTACAGGCGACTTTCGGTTCTCTAGCGCAGTGCGCTCGGTCTTAGAGGCGACTTTCGATTTGCTAGCGCAGTGCGCTCAAACACACAGGCGATTCTCGATTCTCCAGCACAGTGCGCTCAGTCACACAGGCGGCTTACGATTTGCTAGCGCAGTGCACTCAACCATTCAGGCGATTCTCGATTCTCTAGCGCAGTGCGCTTAGTCACACAGGGGACTTTCAGTTTGCTAGCGCTGTGCGCTCAACCATAAAGGCGACCCTTATGCTGCAATGGCGCACACTGAAAATGCAAGGGTGCGATCGGAAATAAAATAAAATTAAAATTGGGGTCTTTTCATGAGCAGCAGGCCTGACTACGGGAAATGACAGGAGCGAGTAAGGAGAGGGGAGAGAGAGAGAGAGACAGAGGGAGAGAGAGATAGGAGGGGAGGCAAGGGAGAGGGGCTATGGCCCTAGTGGGAATTAGGACCACCTTACTCCCCCTAGCTGCCTTACCCCTTTACCTCTCTCTTGCTTGTCTTGGGCCTTCTCGTTCTCCTACTAGCTCCAGTACGATAGTCCCCGGTTCACTGTTTCACCAGCGCTTCCGCATTCCACACAAGTGAAGGCTTGTCTCTTCTCAAGTGACTCGGCCTCTCTTTTATAGTGAAGAGGCCGGGTGATCGGGCAAGGTGCAGCAGTCCTTGGGCTAAAAATAGCACAGGCCGGTGCTAAAATTAGCGCAGGCCTGCGCTAAAATTTGCGCGGGACTGGAAGACACGAACAGTCAGTCCCGTGTTAAAAATAGCACGGGCCTGCGCTAAATATAGCGCGGGCCTGTGCTAAAATTAGCGCGGGACTGTGCTAAAATTAACACGGGACTCGGACAG